CCCTTTGCCTTGACCTCCAGCGACGACAATTCCTTCTTTTGCACCTTTATTCCATTCCATCACACGATAATTGTTGTTGTCTGACACGTAGACAGTCTGTTGTTGATCGACAAAGATGTAGGTCGGCCAGTCGAGTTGATTGAGACCAGCACCTATGCCATTGCCACCAGCCACAAAAGTTCCATTCTTGTCTCCTATTTGATATCGTCTTACTTCATGTTTTTCGACGTCAGAGATGTAGAGATATCTCTGATCATCCATGGCCAATCCCCAACAAGCGATTTTGTCGATGAGGATTTCTCCTTGAGCTGTACCACTATGACGAGACCATCGTACGACTCGTCGATTCAACCAATCACAAATAATGAGACTATCCGTCTCTTTGTCGATCAACACATCGGTTGGATAATTCAATTGATCCAATCGATTTCCTTTGTCATTGCCACCAGCTACTACTTGTCCATTCGTATCATCCATCTTCCATTGGATGATACGATTATTATCCGAGTCAGCAATGACTATCCTTTGATCATCATCAACGAAGAGACCTTCAGGCTCGTTGAGTTGATTGGTGGCACTGCCCCATTCATGACCTCCAGCAACAGTCATCCCATTTTGTTTCCATCGGGCATCAATTGGAATATTGGGAATTACTACAATGAACGAAAAAGAAAAGAAATCGTCGTTGTTGAAGAGATCCCGTCTCTCGTGGGAGTACGTGCTACAAATACGACATTCATCTTTGAGAATGCTCGTTTCGCAGATAAAAATTCAGAAGTCTTTTCCTAGATTCCTATGAGAAAAAAGAGTTTTGTAGCGATTCGTACATCTATGTCATTTTTAATTCATCCCAAGATGCTTTTGATCATAAAAACAACACCTGGAGATTGCTGTAAGGAGGTTCTCGAAGAAACAGTAATACTAGTTTCATGTAAATTTTTGATAGAAAAACCTAAGAATCTGAGGATTTTATTCAGAATTGCAAGAATTCAGAATCTTTTTGGCAGAATGATCATTTATATGAACATCAGAGAAGATTCTATCTGCCACTTGTGAGAAGAATATCGAATTGTTGAACAACAAAATATCAAACCTAATCCTTATATTTTTGTAGGAAACCTTAAGGATACATGATTTTCTGCATGATGAATGTAGATCTGCCGAAGAATCTCCTAAGTATTTACATAGAGAATGCCGGTGAAATTTTATAAGGCTTTTAGTAAGTTATGTCAAGCTGTTCGAAGAACACCCGTGATGTACTCTGAGTAAGATCATGAGAAGGCTTGGATACAGGCGAAATTGAACAAAGTTGAGAGGATTCCACGCGAATCTATGTAATCTGAGAGGGCTTCTACTTTTGCAAATGCTGAAAAGATAGATGCCAATCCGAACGGAGCTCTCCAGTGACAAACATTGGGATCTATAGATTTTATGGGCTTTGGAAAGGGCGAGAGTAATGGGATAGGCAGAAAGTGTTCTAAAATGTTATTATTAACTTTTGATGAACACCATCTTCAAACCATTGTATTAGGGTCCTAGAACAGAATCTTGGCGACTAAATAAGATACTCTGGCAAAATCTGAAAATCTAAAAATAATGAGTATCTGCCATCAGGACCATGCTATAACCCTTATGTAATGCTTATTCTGAGAAACCTTCTTTGAGCTCGCATTTCATGGATATGTTCAGAAGGATTTGAAGAGTACGTATTTTGAAATGCTTGATATGAGAGATGGATAATTCCAACTCCGAAGTTGACGCTTTTTCTCATCAGAGTAAAATGGAATAGGAACAGGACAGAATGGAGGTGCCTACTTCTGGATGTTGTGAGAAAGTTTATAAAGTAGTAAATTAATATGCTACTAATTGATATCAATCATAGATTTAATTATGTTCAAAAACTCATGTATATTTAAGAGTGTTTTGGCAGAAGTCCAATTTTCTATAATCCTAATGAAATTGAAGTTAAATTGGAGTTGGAATAGAATCTTAGGAAAAAGGAATGGAATGGTATGGGGTTGGAGCGAAACAGACTGCAGTTGAAATTGATGTGGAGTTTCAGAAAATAGGATTGGAGTTATGTGGAGTTGGAGCGGGACATAGTGTAGTTGCTCATCTCTTTTTAGTGGACAAATGTCGATCCTAATCAGCATCCATGATGCCTTCTCTGGAATATTGGGAATTACTAGAATTAACAAAAAAGCAAAGCTATCGTCATTGTCGAAGAGACCCTCTCTCTCACGCGGGGAAAAGAGCTATGAAGGAGACATTCGTCTACTTTGAAGGGAATTTGGTAAAACTTTCGAGAATATTCTTTCCTCAGATAAAAAGTCAGACGGCTTTTCCTAGTTTCCTGTGAGAAAAAAGGATTTCGTAACGATTCTTACATCTATGTTACTTTTAGTTCTTGCCAAAATCTTTTTGATCCTAATAACAACACCTGGAGAATGCTGTAAGGAGATTTGTCCAAGAAAGAGTAATGCTAATTCCATGTAAGCTTTTGATAGAAAAACATAGAGATCTGAGGATTTTATTCGGAGTTGCGAGAATGCAGAATCTTTTGTAGGATGATCATTTATATGTATATTAGACAAGAATTTAAGTAATGAAATAATGAACTATGTGAAACTCCTAAACTGAGGAAATCTTGAGAAGTTTCTATTTGCATCTTGTTAGGAGGATGTTGAATCGTTGAACAACACATGTCAAACCTAACCCCTTTGTTTTTCGGGGAACCTTGAACATTCAGTATGCATCTTTGATGATGCTTTTCACATGGTTCAACACAAATCCAGATCACATGATTTTCTGGATGATGAATGCAAACCTGTGGAAGGGTATCCTAAACATGGGAATGGCAGATGCAGATGAGATTTTATCAAGCTTTTGTCAAGTTATATCAAGCTCCTCGAAGAACAATCCTGATAGAATCTTAGTTAGATCCTATTGAAGGTTTGACGCATACGAAACTGAGTGAATTTGAGACAATTTCACGCAGATCTTTAGAAACGGATGCCGTCTACTTTTGAGATGCTGAAGGGTGGGTCTGAATGGAATAGTCAGATAGTGTTCTACAAAGCTATTATTAATTTTTTCTGAAAATTAGCTGCAAACCATGTATTAGGATCTTAAAGGAGAATCTTAATGACTAAATAATATACTCTGTCAAAATCTAAAATTCTAAAAATTATGAGTATATTCTATCAAAATCATGCTATAATTCTTATGTACTATTTGTTCTAAGAAGCCTTCTTAAAGTTAACATGTCACGGGTATGGTCACGAGGATGTCAAGAATCATGATTTAGGAATCGTTGATAGTAGTGATAGATAACGCCAACTCCGAAGTTGATGCTTTTTCTCATTGGAGTTCGAGTGGAATTTCGGAAAATAGGAGTTGAGTTGCCCAATCCTGGGTTTCATGCGAAAGCCTATAAAGAAATATCCGATGGGAGTGGGAGTTCAGAAAATAGGACTGGAGTTGTGTGAGTAATTGGAGCGGGACTAGGGATGTGCAGTATCAGTATACTGACCACCGATAAAATCACACTGGCGTTCACCGGTACGGTGACGACACTGACACTGAGCACACTGTCTGCAGTGACGCACTGTCACTTAGCGAACTGTCTGCAGTGACGCACTGACACTGAGCGAACTGTCTGCAGTGATGCACTGACACTGAGCGAACTGTCTGCAGTGACACACAGACACTGAGCGCACTGGAGCAGTGACCACACTGGCACTGCGTATCACTGGAGCGTTGAAAACACTGGAGCACCGACGTTTACTGATGTAGATAAGTCTGGTATATCAGTAAACGTCGGTGCTCCAGTGTCTTCAACGCTCCAGTAGTACGCAGTGTCAGTGTGTCACCGCAGACAGTGCGCTCAGTGGCAGTGTGTCACTGTAGACAGTTCGCTCAGTGTCAGTGTATCATTGCAGTCAGTGCGCTCAGTGTCAGTGCGTCACTGCAGACAGTGCGCTCAGTGTCAGTGTGTCACTGTCAGTAATTCACTGTTTTCACCGAAACTGCACATCCCTAAGCGGGACATAGTGAAGTTGGCAATCTCTACTTGACACACAAATGTCGATCTGGATCAGTGGCCAACGGGTATTGACTGGAATATTGGGAATCACTACAAGGAATGGAAAAGAAAAAGAAACGTCATTGTGGTTGTCGAAGAGATCCCCTTTCCCGTGAGAGTAAGAGCTACAAATACGACATTCGTCTTCGAGAATGTTCTTTCCACACATAAAAATTTCGAAATCTTTTCCTAGTTTCCTATGAAAAAAAAGAATTTCATAACAATTCTTACATCCATGTCGCTTCTAGAGCTTGCCAACATCGTGTAGATCCTAAAATATAGAATCCTCGCGGTAGATGAAAACTGTAACGAGAGATCGGTGTAAGGAAGCTTTCCGAGAATGAGCAGTGCTTATGGGATGCAAACTTTCGATTGGAAAAAATAGGAGTCTGAGAATTTGATTCATAATTTTGAATCCAGAATCTTTTGCAGAATGATCATTTATATGAACATCAGACAAGAATTTAAGCAATAAAATAATGAACTATGTGAAACTCCTAAACTGAAAAAAATCCTTAAAAGATTCTATCAACATCTTGTTAGAAGGATGTCGAATTCTTGGATCAGAAATGTCAAACGTAATCCTTATGTTTTTGGGGAATCTTAAGTATTCAATATGTTAATAGGATCTTAGCAAAATCATAAGAAGGTATGTATGCATGCAAATCTGAGTAAATTTGACAGAACTTCACGAAGATCTTGGAAATCCGATGCCTTCTACTTTTTGAAATACTCAGAAGACTAATGTTAATCTTATCAGCGCTCTCCATAGGAAAAGATAAGAACTTAGTTAGCTTTCTACAGGCACGAGCTGAAGATATTCTTTTTGTGACTTGAAAAGCAGGGGCTCACTCAGAAAGGTCAAAAGGATAACGGTAAGATATTATCAGAATTTCGATAAGATTTGATGCAAAGCATCGTCTGGAAATGCTAGAAAGGTTTCTATGAATTCGAGACAAGAATCTTTGCTACAAAATGAAGAATAGTGTCAGAATCCAAAGCTGGAAAAATGCTCAGGTGTTATTTGTATTTTATCAGAATGCTGATGCTAAATATTTGAGCTAATATGGATGTGGGTGGATATGAGTGTTCCTATTCTTCATTGGCAACTACGCTCACACACACCTTAGAAGAATTCAATGTTGTTGCCTTTTTGTAACAAATGACTTATTAGTTTGATATTGATCTGTAAAAACGCGTATCAAATTTAAAAAATTCAAACGAATTTGAAATTCAACTATAATAAGTCAGTCTTTACAAGATGGTAACAAGATTGATACAACTAAAAATTCATCTAAATTATATTTCAAGTAACGCATGCAGATCTATAGAATATGTTATTGTTCTCTCTACGGATGTATTCAATTAAAAAAAATGGAACGTTTACTAACATGTAAAGATATACACTAAAAATTATTCTACATTTACGAGATTCATTGAACTATTACACGCTCTATATATGAAGATTGTTCCATAGATTTTTTGCTATTTTGAATATTTTTTTCTGTTGTGTCGAATACGTAAA